AAACATAAAGCTCTGCCCTTTGGTCTTCTTTTCAGTCTGCCTGGGTAAGCTTACTTTATGAGGCAGCATAATTTGCAGTGACCTTTTCTGAAGCTGTTGATACACTTCCTGCTTCACTGGAAACCACCTTTTTAGCCATGCATGATGTGACTCCCCATATATTGGAGTACAAATTTCAGGTTTTGTTATTAAACCCTGCAAAGTAATCCTATGCTGTAGGTCGCTGTACTGGTGCAAAATGCTGCCAGTACTGCTGGGCTGCAGAAGACAGTGATGAGGGATGGTTTTTCAAGGCTGGCTGGCCCTTGTTGCACCACAGATAAATGCATGGAGTCAGAGAGGGAGGGGGATCTTTTATAATTGTTATTCTATCTCTTACTTGTACAGAGGAAGGATCACGGAATTTTATAAAAAGATTTTCAGACTTACTCCACATGTGAGTATTTAAGTGTACCTCTGTCCCAATACATCTAAACCCTTATGCAAATTTAAACCTCTACTGGTTTTTTAAATCTTGGTTTTGCCACAATGGGAAAAGTATATATTCTCATAGAAATGAAGGCACTTCGCCAGAAGTTTTCCTTCAGCTGTAACTATTTCAGGATTTCAGCTCCCACATGTGAGAACTGCAGAAGCACATGTGACATAATAATATGCTTATTTTCTTAACATTTTACAAATTATTATATATTGTTATTTTCATAGAATTATTTTCATACATACCAATTATACTTTGTAGAACTGTGGAAGGCAGTCTGAAACACTACTTGAATCACTCAAGAGCTGCTGTCTGAAGGCTGTGCAGCAAATTTATCCTTGAAATTTAGTGAAACCGTACTGAGCAGATGATTAGTTCATTTTCTTTGCTTGCTTTCTTTATCACTCTTTATTTACTTTTATTTATCTCTCACATGGTGAAGACCTTTGAGGCTTCTTTTTTTTTCATTGTTTAAAGAAATAAACTGAAGCATCAATGATTTTTCTACTTGCAGAAATTATGTGCTGTGGCATGTTTTTTCAAGTAATGTGCTGGCCTAGCAAAGTAAATAATGAATCCAAATATCTCCATAATCAAAGCAATATTTTTGGGTGCATCCTCCTTCACTGAAATGATGAGTTAAAAATATTAACTGAAAGATACGGTTTCCTGAAGCTATAGTGTAGTAATAGGAAATTTATTCATTTGTATACTAAAAAGTTTATATTGCAGAATGCATATTCTTACCGTAAAAAACCCCTAGAAACTGTTCTTGAGGTTGACAAAAAGCAGAAGAATTTTGATGAAAATAAATAATAATAAAAAAAAGTATGGAGATAATACTGGCAAATTTGCAAAAAATTTGACATATTTTTCAACAAAATTAATAATCATAAACTTTTTTTATCTGAATTTCAAGAGGTTTCAGCTGGAATCTGAAAAGCTCTGTTTTGAAATGCCACTTCAGTTCACATCTTAGAAATTTTCTACATCTTGGAAATTGATTATTGTAGGTTCTTGCTACTTTGCTCATGTACTGGCTGGTGTTCCTGGCCAGGTTACATGCCCTTGGGTGCCCTGCTGGGCTGCTGGAACATGGCAATGGATTTTGGGAAGTTACCAGTTACAAGTGGCATGAAGAAGTTTGCCAGTGTGCCAGAGTTGGCCATTAGCCCCAGAGCAGTAGGTACAACACATTTCAGCTTTAACTTCCTGTGAGGTATTACAGCAATACTTCAGATGCAAATGTTTTTCTTTCGGTCAAAGGTTGAACCACTAACTTCAGTTAGGCCAAAAGCCTGACCTTCCAGTTTTAAAAGGCTTTTCTGGTTAACTAGACTTTAAAATTTTCACGAATGCAGCTTCCTTTTCAAATGTACCACCAGTGTATTTGATGAGAATTAAGCAACAAATTGTATAGCCCTATTGTATATTACATTTATCCCAACAATTCAACCCCTGACTGTGTTCTTTCTACTTTGTTCTTGGTTTTGCCCTTTGTTTCATTCACATCAAGAGTTTGTTCTAAGCACTTTCAGACCTTCTCTGAGTGAAAGCCATAGAAAAGTAACCCTGCCTAAAGAGTATCCTTTCCATGATATGATGCCACTTTTTCCATTCCTCTAAAGAGCACCACGAACAACAAAAATAATAGATGCATCAAAAATTGTGCTGCTTTGAGGCTTAGGATGAGACAACTTCAGTGTGTACTAGAAACAAGTGTAATGTTCGGCATACAGTTCTCTGAAAGATTATAAACTTGTATCATTTGATATACATAAAAGTGGTACTGTTGTCATATGAGATACGACCACAGTCCTTGCAGTGTTTCAGTTGCTTTTTTTCCCCTGTCATCTGCACAACTAACAGCAGATGACAACTCTAAGATCCATCAATTCTTTTCTAATGCCCTGCTCAAAACTAGAGCCAGCATTTGACATAATGTGTTTTATCTCCCTCTCGTGCCCTTGTTTGCTTTTTCTATCTTGCTCCCTCTCAGATGCAAATATCTATATCTTTATTTGTCTCTCATGCATATTTCTATACTTTAACAGCGATACACAGTTGTTTCTTTTTACAAGAAGAATTCAGAACACTGCCTTCAGTCCTGTGGGATCATTTTCTGTATCTCTGAGAAAGGTATTTATAAGAGTCTTGATTGAGGAATGAAAGAAAAATTAAACCAGATCAGTAGAAATTATTTTCCTAATGGTAAAATCTGAATTATACATTAAAGTACCATTTATTCACTCAATTTTATTATTCTGTTCAAAATGACAGTCACTTTTATGTGTTTTGTAGGCTAACAGAGGTTTATTAGCTTGAGTAAAAGGTTATTATTATTCAATTGAATAATTGAATTCTAAATTATTGGTATTGCACTTCATATTATAACTGCTTTTCTGGATGCATTTGATTATGTCAAATATGCCTTTTAATCCCCTGTTTGGAGACCATTTTCTTTCTCATCCTGCACTCTTTCTCGCGCTTATAGTGATACCCTAATGAACACACACAGTCCAGCCTCACATCTTCCATGTAAATTACTGTGCATACCTCTCCTAGTCAGATCACATCAGAGGCTATCTGGTGTCATATAATCCTGGATACTGATATGTGGAAAATCTTTGCAGGTGATTAATGCCGTAGGCATCTCATTTTCCTGCAAAGCAATATTGCAGTGTTTATGTGAATGCCAGACTTAGGGATATGAAATGGACATTTAGAAAAGTTAATAATCCATGCCTAATCCTCTCCAAGAATTATCTGTTGGTATTTCTATAAATAATTGCAGCTTTATTTCTTGTCGCTAGTGAAATCACATACTAATTTATTAAATGCGTTTTTCATTAAAAACTTGGAACTTTGCTATAAATCTCATTGCATGGGTGAAATATACATATTTAAAGCTAAACATAAAATATCATTGCATTTGAAACATATATTAAATAAAAAAGTCATAAAGTAACTGTGCTTTGGTGTTTGTTTTCTTGCTTTGTTTGTTTGCTTAATGCTTTGAGCAAATGTGCCCTTCAAAAAGGTTTCATGTTTGCTAGGAACATGAGATTTGTTCTTGACTGCACACATGGATACTGTGATTCCTGGGCTTAACACTGAAATTCTCAATTAAAATGACAAACCATACACAAAACAGTCCAACACAGTAAAGTGTCGGGGCAGGCAGTCCCAGAACGGAATATTCTGTGAGCATTCTTCATTGCTAGCATTCAATACCCCACTGATAATGCTAGTGTGGCCAAAGGTGCTGTGTTTATTTGCATGTACCTGTGAGTTACATCATTTTCTGCTGTTATCAGACTGCTCCTACCTCTGCTGAAGAGTTTTTCCCTCAGCCAGGGATTGTCCATTAACTTCACTAGAAGGAGGATCAGCCTTTCACAACCTTCCATAATTTTAAGCAAATTATATTTTAGAAAGTAATCATTGATTCCTGAGATTTGACATAGGAAGCACTTTAAAAATGGCTTTGAATACTCTTAATTAGCTCAAGAATTACAGTCTCATTCCTCTTCTATGGTGCTATTACAAGCATTTATCTCAACTGATTTCAACAGAGCTGCTTCTGTTTTACACTGGTGCGAGGGAACAAAAAAACCCAGGTTGCATAAATTGTTAACAGCTCTTTCATACTGCCTCTTTATTACCAGATAAAACTTTGATGAAGGACATTCACAGAAGATCAATATGAAAAACCACATAAGACCTGATTTTATGGTACTGGCTTATACAGAAAATCACAGAAATAACTACTCGTTTTTTAAGCTCTTACTTAAGGTGATGACTGGTTTGATGCTGCTTTTCCTGAAAGAAATATTTCACCTTTAGGAGATGTACTGCCTCCTGAGTAAAGTTAATTCATAGCTCTGATTAAGGGGAGGGGGAAAAGGGAACAGAGTGCAGTTGTCCATCTAGAAATGAGCAACTCTATCCTTTATTTGAGGGAAGAGCCCACTGTCTTTTCTCTGCTTTGTACAGATGCTGTTCCTGGCTGATGCGATGAACTTCTGTCAGCATTCGAGGAGGCTCCATGTGGAGGGCTGCATGCCTCATGAGGGGAATTAGGAGCTTTGGCAAAGTTTGGGATCTTCTTCCAAAGAACTGTGAAATATCATCTCATCAACAGCAATCTTTACCTGTAATTTATAGAGGCCAGAGCACAGCTGTGGGGTAAACAACAAATGGTATTGAACTGGCCAGTAATACATTGTCTGTGAGCTAATATAGCTCAGGATGTATTCAGTGCCAAAAGCAAACATTTTCCTTGAGATTCACTTAGATGACAGTGTTTGTTTATGCAGTGGTTTATCTGTGTATGAAGAAGTGAGCAGGAATAAAAATGCAATTGCAATCACATATAGTAAATACAATTTATATTAATGTTTCTCCAACCTAATGGCTGTCAAATACACTCTTCTGCCTGTCTGGCAGTCTGCCTTAATTTGTTTCTGCCAAATGAAGAACAAACATTTTATCACAAGTTTGTTGTTGGGGTTTGTTTCTAAAAAAAAACCCAAGCACACCAACACTGAAGCCTAAAGAGGTGGCTATCTTTAGAAAGTTTGCTCTTCACACACTTAATCAAGACCATCATACTTTACTTGCTTTCCTCCAACTGTTACTAAAGCCATCCACAGCCTTCGAAATCCAAGCGTTATGAAGTGGAAATGCCTGTGCAGGGAAGTTCTCTGATGAGAGTCTTGGTGACAGGCTTAATCCCAAGATCAGCGGAAGCTCAGTTGTGCTCCTTTTTCTCCCTGAGGTAGCTGAAGAGGACATCCAGGCCCCCCTCCACAACCTCGGGCAGGGGCCGAGACAAGGGGTTGTGGGCGATGTGGAGGCCTTTGTCCATTGGGTTCCAGGCAATGCGGCGCAGCCGGCGCAAAAGGTAGAGGTCATCAGGGAGAGTCTGTATGGCATTGTAGTCAACGTTTAGCAACTCCAGAGTGGTGATGTAGCAGAGAGACCGTGGCAGGCTGCGTATGTTGTTATTCTCCACGATAAAGATTTGCAGATTGACCAGATACTGGATACTCTCTGCGATGTTTTCCAGCTTATTGGACCCTAGGTGCAAGAAATCTAAGCTCCTCAGTGCAAAAATGCAGAGGGGAATTTGCACAAAGCGGTTGTTACTGAGGTTCAGTTTCCTCAAACTTGTCAGGTCAGTGAAGCTCAAAGGCAGTTGTGAGATGCGGTTGTGAGAGAGGCTCAGAACCTCCATCTTCCTGCATAAGCTGAGCTCTGCTGGCACTTCTGTCAGGCAATTCATATTGACAAACAAGACCTTCAGGTTCCTCAGCAGCCCAATCTCTTTAGGCAGACTCTTGAGACAATTACCTCCCAAGTTCAGCACTACCAGCCTGTCCAGTTTCCCCAGCGAAGGAGGAATCACCACCAACTGGTTGCGTGAAAGGTTCAGCTTCTGCACCTCGGACAGTCCCCACAAGAAGTCAGGCGTGCTGGTCATCCCTTTCATTATGAGGCTCAAGCTGACATAACGCAATCCCCGTTTCAGCAGTGACTTGGGCTCTCTCCCTGAGAGAAGGGCGTCTTCCCATGCAGGCAACTTTGGACCTTTCCTAAGAAAAACCATGCTCCTTCGCCCCTCGTTCTTCGAGTGCTCAGTTCCCATAACACTCTGGTTCCCTCCTGAGAGAAGTGAGGTTTTCTTCCCTTGCAAGTGCTACACCAATATGCAAATGCCAACAGAGGGTGACAGCTTGCAAGAGGCGGGAAAGTCAAAGCAAGGAGAAAAGGAGGAGCCTGTGAAGTGCATCTCAGTCCACCAGGGCAGTTTCCATAGCTGCTGAGGGAAAGTTTCACTTTTGGGGGCTTATGTTGATCTTGGTGCAGAGTCTGTAATGAAATACTTGCTCCTGACTTGTGAGCAAACCTGTTCAATTCAAACTGAATGCCACAAGACAGCTGTCACTGTCATTTGGCCTGGGCTTTATTGGACAGATATGTATCTTCACTGCAAAAAGGTCACAAGGATGCTGTATATAACTTCACCATGTCAGCTTTCTTGGCTATCTGGTACATACCATGGCTGCAGGACAATTAACAAGAGTGACTTCAAAAAAACAAACAAGCAAACTAAAGAAGAAAACAAGCAAAGAAGACATCATTTAGATTCAGATTTAAAGGACATTTTCATAATATTTTTTTGATGTTTCTCATTTCACTGAAGTAGTTACTAGTGTACCAGAAAATTTTGCATGCTGCAAAACATTGACTTGTTATTTCAGTCCTTGATTCTGTTTAGTTTAAAAAAAAATTCTAAAAAAGAAAAAAAAGCACTCACAAAAAGTGTTACCTTTTATATCCCCTTTGTGGTGAGGATAGTCCTCTTTCTTTTTAGAAAGAGTACCACCTTCACTTACAGTAGTGACATTTTCCAGTGGTATCTGCGCCCACTGGGATGATTGCTACCCACGTTGCCAAATGTGAGCAGTCATACCTCAAAGTTCTGCCCAAATTACTTTGTCCTAAATGTCCTGTGCTAATTTCACATCTATCAACAGATTTTTGGAGTCTAGTTCTTTTGTACTCCAGAAAATAGAGCCTCTTGATGTCCCTTTCCCTGTGAACTTTCATGTCTTTCTGGGCTGTTCTGGGGTACAGGGGGACTAGCAGTCAAATAGCTTGAACTATAAATGACATTTAGATCTGACACAGAGGGACTGATGGGAGAGGAAGGAAGCAGTGAGGTATAATAATACTCAACAACAGCTGAAGCAAGCTCTGCTGGAGAAAGGAAATTGTATTGCTACAGGAATATGCATGCAGTGAGTTTAAACTCAGAGGGACTCTAAAAAGGATCTCAAAAAACTTTAGGCACCGTTTAAACTGGGTGAAAATTGCAACAAATAGTATAAGATTTTCAGGGCTTTTTCTCTCCATTGGGTGATCAGTGGTGATGAGCATACCCTTATTTCAGAGATGCTCCCCTTAAAACCTTGCATCAGCTCAGATGTTAAGGGATTATGCAAGAAGCTGCAGTTGGGAGTCAAGGCTCGCCAGCAAGCTCTTTAGAATCAATCCCCACAGTCCTTTCTTACTGACAAACACCACTCAGTCTCCTTTGAGCTTTGGGTCCCCCATAGAGCTGCATCAACTTGGGAAGAGAGGGGAGAAAGGAGGCATTCCTGCAGTTCTATCTGGCAGCTGAGGAGACCACTCAGGACCAAAGTGAGAAGCACAAGATGGTGGCAAGCTGAGTGAGCCACACAATTAAAACCCGTGCTTTAATAGGGCTGCCAACTGGTCCTGAAGCTGAAATATTGCATTCCCTGGAGTGCCTGGGCGAGTCTGAAAGGGCTGAGGCCAGTTGTATCTGTTTGGTTAGAGCGGGTTGGCAGCCTGATGGTGAGTCATAGATCCCTCCCTCACAAGCACTTTTTGCCAATATTTGTCCGTTTGCAAACAAACATTACATTAAATGCCACTGCAGCCATAAGCTCTGACTCTTGTTAATCATCATTCCCACATGCTGCCCAGAGTGGCAGACATAACCCTGCCACTGCAGGTGGAGGAGCCCTCAGTGGAGAAAACCCAGCAGCTGGCTGAATTTGGGCTTGATTGGGCCTTGCATGGTGCAGGGCATAAGCCTAAAATGTGGCCCTTCAGCCCAAGCAGGTGGAGAAGCAAAAGCAAGAGCCTCTCATGAGCTCTGTCTCTGGGTTGTCAGCCCAGCTGGTGTTAAAAATGCACCTATTATCAGAGAGCCTCCATGGATTTCAGCAAGGCAAGAAGAAAAGAGCTTTTTAGAGAGCATTTATAAGGTTAGGCATTTCCCTTCTTTTAGTCTCACTGCTGGAATGAGGAACATGCCGCAGCTCTACTCAGGAACCGGCACTGCTCCCTTTGACTGGGCTCCCACCTGTGACCACAGCCCCACGGTCACTTCAGAGGCTTTCCTTCTACCGGTCATTTTAGTAAGAAACAAAAACAAAACACAAAGGAAACACAGTCTTCCTGTAGTCACAGCCTGCCCCCATGGCTGGCCAGATATTTTTGGATGAGAACGTCATCCTCGTCTCCAAAACACATTGGAGTTCACTGCCTGGGGACTTGGCAGTGCCCACTCTGGCCTCTCACCACAGAAATCCTTGTTTCCTAACAGTGTGACTCAGCCAAAGCGCTCTGTACCCTTCCCTGGCTTTGCACCATGCCGTCTATTTGAAACTAAGCCTGTGATACAGCCCAGTACAGTCTGGGCTGGGCTGTTGCTGGAAAGCTTCACCCGGGGATCTCTATCAAAGAAAAATGCTTGCTCGGCTTCAGCCTCAGAGCGTCTCCTGCTATTGCACTGCTGTATCTCCCCTGCCTGGCAGGCAGCAAGCAGCAGCAAAGGGGATTTTCAAAAGAAATTCCGCATCTGCAGCTCTCATTGTCCGGTTCCCTTCCTGCCTCCACGAGTACCGTAACTGCTGTGCGAAATAAAGAAAAAATAACCATTTCCTTTTCTTTGTTCTCCAACAGAAAAACAGGCTATTGAGCACACTTGTAGTTGTGGAGACGGAAAACTCTGAGGTAAGCAAATTAATTTTCTTTCTTGAAATCGAGATAGTAAAACAACAGTGGCCTCATCTGGACATCTCAGGAACTAGAATTCTGAACAAAAATAGTCCTATCCCTTGGTGTCCAGCACTGGTTTTGTTCAAACATTTTTCACTTTGCTTTTCTCTGCGTTGCCTGCTTTCCTGTCCTGATCCATGCTGTGCTGTGCTGTGAGGATGGATCAATTCCTTTGGGCTGCTCTTAGGTGGCTGGGCCAGGATAAAACACTGACCTGTGTCCACACAGCCTGGCAGAAAGCAGAAATTAATTTTGTGCATGCATGTTTGGAAGGGAAAATAACCCAAGAAAATTGCTGGGCTTTATATGACACAGTGTGGTTGATAATTGCTTTGTAGACTAAACAAAAAAGTTAGTGTGCAAGGGGAAAAAATAACCCACAACTTGCTAAAGAATTTTTTAGTCCAACTAATACAGTAAGAGAAACTGCACTACTAACAATGATAAAAAACTGATAAGCTGACAAAAATGACAAGTTATATTTTCTGACATTCTTTGACAATGCAAATTATTAGATTTTTTTTTTTTTTCTTAAGGAAGCAGGATTGTCAGCCCTAAAAAAAGCTGAAGATGAGTTCACAAAAGATCTGGAATTTTAAAGTCTATTATCTATGGGTTCTTTTCTTTGTCTTCAGGTTTGGAGTCTATAGAATGCACTTGGGAAACATTTTCAAGCTTTTCTCTGCAGGCATTCAGAAGTTGCAATAAAACCAATTGCATTGTTTTTTAAGTAAAATTTGAGATCATCACATAATTACTTTTCCATAGGATTTGCGCTTTTAATGAAATATCCATAACATCAGGATTTTAAAGAAAATATAACCATTTTGACACACTGAGCTTAAGTTTTGTTTTGCTTCAAAACAAAATACTGTCACGGTCTTTTAAATTGCTGAGCACACAATAGATGCCTATAGTTTTGTTACCACATATTTATAAGTTCATAATTAATTTTGAAGCAAGTTCTACGTTCTCTATGGAGTCAAAATCATATATAGTTCCTCTGTCTCAGCACTATTAAAAATATAGTAATATAAGAAGGAATCCTTTAAATCTTTAAGCATAGCCTTTTCTAAAATGCTGGTAAGTTCAACTCATATTCTTTTAGAAGAAATTTTCATTTCAATTAATTATTCAGGTCTTATAATAAACAGCCATCTAAACAAGGATTTGGAAAATAGCTAACACTTCCTGTCACAAGAAGGATGCTTTGGCTAAAAGGGGTTAACTGGTTTCAAGTTCAGCAGAAAGCAACAGTCATGCTGGAGAAATATTCAGTACAAATACAGCTGCAGCTACTGAACCATCTTCTCTTGTGCTATTTCTTTCCTCTGAAGTAAATAAAGAGTTTAAAGAGCATCAGTGCTATTCAGACTGTCAGAGATATCCTCTGGTCTTAGTGCTAAGGAAGCAAATTTTTTAGATTTTTAACTGCTTTGCAGTGGTTTGTTGATCTTGCAGCTATTCTGAAATACTAAAGTCAAATTTCAAAGGTAATTTGAGATTTATAAGATGTGGCACAAGACTGGAACAATTCTTCAGGCAATTTCAGATTTCCTGTTAATTTGTTTTTAATTATGGTGCTGTTAACAGCTTTTAATGAGTGTCTGTCCCTGGAGTTTTCCTGGAATGTTTTATTAAGGTCTCATGTGGAGCTGCTGGATCGCCTGACCCATGAAGAATTGGACCTGGAGGTGAATGCCTGCCTGTGCAGAGGCTGATTTTTCTGCAGACCTCTTGACAGAAGACAAGCTTGAACTATCCATAATATGGAATAAAGAGAGAGATATTTGGGTTTGTATGTAGCCTAGAAATGACAGGCTCTTCCTCCTGATAGTCATGGCCTGCAGTAATTCTCATGTTACACAGAATTACTGGAAGTTTTATTTCTTTTCTGCAAACTTGCCTTAATATTTTAAAATCCCAGCAAATGCATAAATGGCTGATTAGTCACCTCCTACTTCTGCCACGATTTCCCTGTGTGTATGCAAGCCAAATAGCTGGTCTGTCTGTCTATATTAAACAAAGGCCACCCGTGATCCTGCACTGCACAATCATCCATGTTCTCTGGGACACTTTTTCATCCAGTGTTTGTGACAGTTCTCCCAGGCACCGCCAAGACCCGCTTGCCTTAGGTGTTTGCTCACTCCTTTGCAGGAAAAGGAGAATTTAGCACATGGACACGCCCTAGGGCACACCCACTCCTGCAGGAGTTCATGGAGTGCCCTCCCCTGCTTTA